AATAGATACTAAAGTGACCCACGCTTTTCTTTATAGTTATTTAAATAGTAGTCTATAATTTATTTTCTACTTTTTAGTGCATCATTACATAAAAGCTTGTTATTAAAACGTTTTTTATGAATTTTTTTTTTAAAGTATTTTTTTCAGTAGTGAATACGTGCCACAAAATAAATGTTTCCTAAAAGTATATTTTAGTAGTGGTATACAAAGCGTTAAAGTATTGTTTTTTTAAAAGCAAATGCTTTGTTATAAAGCGCGAAAAATTGACTATGCCAAGTCAGGTACCCATTAGAGCTGGGTGGACACGAGTCAGGTACACGTTGAGCTAGGTGTAGTAGAGTCAGGTACCCATTTTGGCTGGGTGTAGTGGTCATGTACCCATTAGGGCTAGGTGGACTCGAATCAGGTACCCATTAGGGCTGGGTAGACTCTAGTCCAGTAACCGAAACCATGGCTATCGAGCCAGCAATCGTGTACTTCAGCACTAGCCTGGGCCAAATAAACCTTTTAGGCGAATTGAAACACATTGACATTTTAATCGAGTGGAAACGGCAGGGGGGGGAGGGGGGGGGGACACTTTTTAATACACATTGAGCAAGAAAACTGTCAGTTTATCACGTGACATAAAAACCCGTTGCACTTCCAGAGACGTGTGCGTGATGGGGGAGGGGGTGAAAAAAAATTGTAAAACCTTTTTAACGCGTAAAGGGCAAGAATTGATCGGCGTCACGATTCTTGGCGTCACGATTCTTGGCGTCAAAGTATTGACCCTTACTGGACGCCGAACACTAAATCTTCATTCCCAAGACGAAAATTTGTTAAGGTGTTTCCCTCCTACACTCGAAAATAGAGAAAAAAATATCATACTACTAAAACTTAAATGAATGTAGTTGAACCAAGATACTGAAAAATAAAACTTGATTTGTCGACAACATGGGTAATCATCATATTTCTTGATCTTTTATCTTCCTGAGGGATAATTAAATATTTTAGTCTACTATAGTAAACTACGAAAATTTTCAAAATTCGTCTTCTAACCGTGCCAATTCTATCAATTTCCAAGCTGTCGCAGTTTAAAAACTTGATAGGAACAAAATATTCAAGTAAAACAATTTCTGTGTCTAGGTGTGTTGTAAGCTTCTCAGTGTGCTATTCAAAACACCGGACTAGACATGTGTTGTGTGTTCTAGGCCTCACAATGTTCTATTCAGAACTTTAGACCTTTGTGGTGTGTTCTAGGCCTCACAATGTTCTATTCAGAACTTTCGACCTTTGTGGTGTGTTCTAGGCCTCACAATGTTCTATTCAGAACTTTAGACCTTTGTGGTGTGTTCTAGGCCTCACAATGTTCTATTCAGAACTTTAGACCTTTGTGGTGTGTTCTAGGCCTCACAATGTTCTTTCCAGAACTTTCGATCTTTGTGTTGTGTTCTAGGCCTCACAATGTTCTATTCAGAACTTTCGATCTTTGTGGTGTGTTCTAGGCCTCACAATGTTCTATTGAGAACTTTAGACGTTTGTGGTGTGTTCTAGGCCTCACAATGTTCTTTTCAGAACTTTAGACCTTTGTGGTGTGTTTTAGGCCTAACAATGTTCAAATCAGAACAGTACAATATTAACAACACTGTACAATATACTTTTAGTCAATACTTTCACACACACTGAAAGATAGACACCCACAGATAAACAAAGTATGTATATGAACGTACAGTGTGATGGTGGGGACAAGAGTAGAGCCCTACTTACGTTCTTAGTTGTTGCTGTTGTTTGATGAAAACTATACCAACCAAACATGCCGACTACAGAGTACTTGAGTCGCTGGGTAATTATGGTGGGCGGTGGACGGGGAAAGGCTAATCAACGTAGCCTACATAAAACATGGTGAAGGCATCCTTAAAAGAGAAGTTCTCACTTTAATAGCTTTGTACCTTGAGTACATCTGGTTCTTGACTTTTCATTGTGTTTCTTTCACGAACTCAATCTCACTACACACATACAAACCCAAACAATCTCTCAGAACACACATACAGCCACAAATCAACCTGACACAACATACATACAAACACAACCCAACCTTTCACTAAACATAAACACAGCCTTAAACACAACCCATGCCTGCTAACCCGTTAGTCTCGAGTTCGAATCCGGGTCCAAGTTAGTAGACCGTCCGTGAGTCCATCCAACTCTGATGGGTATCTAACTCATGTTAGGGAAAGTAAAGACGGCTGGGCATAGTGCTGACCACACTATCCCTTCATATGCCGAGGTCACAGAAACAGGTGAGCTCTACTTCAGTTGCCCCGTAGACCATCAGGTTTGAGTGAAACTCTACTTACTACTTACTTACTTAAACACAACCCATGCCAATGTATGGGTTAGCTGGCCATTTTAGTTTCAAGGTTCATGAGCAGACAGTCAGATTCAGGGATTCTTAAATTATTAACAACACCAGTCTCCAACCCAAGGCTTACAGCTTCAGCAGCCCATACGATCTGCGTTAGTTTCTATAGGATGGGAGGGGAGATTAGGACGGATAAAGAGAGAGAGAGAGAGAGAGAGAGGGATGGCAATTGAGAACGTGAGAGAGATAAAGAGGGTGTTACAACAGGTTTTGGGGGGGGGGGGGATTGAGTAGCGAAATGTCGGCTAATGAAAGTTCGTACTAAACATAAACCTGCCTAACTCAAACCCTCGCCCTAACCATTCTCTGGTATATAAGGAAAGCACTAAGAAAATAAAAGAATTGAGGATAATGTTAGTTTCTACATAGTACACCCACGCTGGAGCAATTCCTGTAAAAACTAGCCCAAACATTATGTGGTATGGCTATGTAACCCTTAACTGCCGCACTTCACTAAAACAACACTAGTTAATGTAAAGTCCCTTTAAGAAAAATTAAATAAAATCATATTTCCATGTAAACACTGGTGCCTCTTTATTGCATAAAAATTGACTAATTTATATTTGAAAAGCTAAAGGAGAGGGCATAACACTAGGGAAAATTGAGAATACTAATATTAACTCAACGAATGTATATCACTGCCACGGATAGCTTTAAAGGTAAATCAATAGACCATTGTGCCTATTAATTATTGATCATCGATTTTTAATTTAATTTCAGGTCATACATTCGCTAAAGGAATTGGCAGGGCATCCGTAATGTAGTTATCTTGTCCTTGAAAGGTAGGCTACTATACATTACAATAGGAGACCCTTTAGGCAGCCAATAAAAAATGCTTGGCTTTCGTCGATCGCTATAATTATAGCACAGCTGATTATACGAGACGTGAATTATATTGGGCAAAGTGTGATGGTATTAGATAATATCTAAAGCTGTGAGATTCACTCACTCTAAAACTTTGAATAACATTGTGGAGATGTGAACTCTTTTAAGTTTGAGCCGATTTCGTTGTAAACATTCAGTAGAGAATAATAATAAAATGAATATAATTCTCTTCATGTTAGACCATAGAAAACACCACGCAGCTTAGCCACCACCCTCATCCCCACCTGTCAGGTGAGCTGTGGTTCACCCCGAGGAGGGAGTAGTGTTGAATTCACAGATTATTAATTGCTGATAAGCAGAAAATAAAACAACTAGATGTTGGCGTATACTACGTCGCCGGTCAGCAGAGGCGTAGAGACCCTTCCCGGCGCCCGGGGACAAACTTTTCGATTTGCACCCCCCCCCTTTCGAGATTTCCATTTGCACCCCCCCCCCCTCAAACTTTCGATTTGCACCCCCCCCCTCGTGAATTCCATTTGCACCTCCCCCCCTCAAACTTTCGATTTGCACCCCCCTAACCTTTCAATTTATTTTTCCAACCCATTTTGGCGCCCCCTAAGGTCGGCGCCCGGGGACATATGTTCCCCCCCCCCCCCCCCGCTACGCTACTGCCGGTCAGCTCGTAAAATGAATTCGATCTGTATACAAACTTATATTTATACTGGTTAGGTCAAGCACCAGATTTTCAACAAGTTTCAGACAACACAAGCATGCAATATTCTCTTTTTTTCAACTCTATTATTGATCCAGATTAACTTTAAAATGTTTTGCTCACTTTAATATATTCAGTTCGTCAACTTTTTTTTAGCTGATTAAATTCGGCATCCTATTTTTTGGCTAATTTTAAATTCATTTAGGCACTTTATTTTTAGTTAATTATAATTTCAATTATGCATCCTAGTTTTTTCCTAATTCCAAAATTAATATATGCACAACATGTTTTAGCTTATTTGGGTCTTTTCTAAATAAGCTCCGTCAAAATTTGGCATTCCAGTACAAAAAGGGTTTCGGTTTCTTTCAGACATTTTTTCCCATTGCGTCCAGGGGTGGTGGCTTACGTGCTCCGAGGGACACTGCCCCCTCCTCCGTGCCCCCTCCTCCGTCCCGTCCCGTCCCCCCCCCCCCCCCCCCACTAATCCCATGTCAAACTCTGCTTATTAGTTTTTAAAAAAGTTACTAACCCTAGATCATAAACAAAACAGAAAGTCAGCAGTTACGTTAATGGCAAAAAAAATAGTTACCTACTAGAGGATCTAGATCTAGATTCTAGATCCAGATTTATTACCAGTAGATCTAGATCTAGAAAATACGTCTAATAAATATTGAGCGACGTCTTACGGCACGGTTATGTCAGGATGGAAGAAAGCCCTCAAAAGTGTGATAGAAATTAACACCATGGGTTACAGCAAGCACACATAGACAAACTTTCTTTAACTAACACATTATGGTGCAATTTCGTCTTGTGAAACTTAATAACACTATTTGAAACTGGATCCAGTGATCTCAGATAAAGTTCCTATCTAACCGCACTCAACGAATTAATCACCTTTCAATGTAAACAAACTTGACCTACTTTTCAAGTTTCCGGTTCCAAATAAGTAGATATAGACTCTCTAGTTCCTTTTAAAACTAAAAACAACGTGTGGATTGCCTTTAAATTACTAATTTAAATGTAAAAAGAACGGAATCATCAACTTTAATTAAAAATATTTACCAATCAGGCGAATTTCGTCGTCGTTTTCATTACTCCCGTCTGAGCGGCTCATTCTAGCAGACGACTACTCCTGAGCTTGCATCGCTAAGGGGAGAAAACTCCCGGATACGCAAATCGATTTACTTCCCTTGGCCCACAATGCGAGACCATATCGGAAAAAGCTACGGAAACATTGTACGAACCACTCAGGAGAAAAAAAAAACTGACACCGAAAATGTTGCTCCCAGCCAGGCTATTTTTAGACAACCGAAATAGGTAGCGGAGAAGGGGTGGAAAAGAGGTAAAATAAGTGGTTGACCTCATTCTCCTAAAACATCAGTTGCTCGTTATCTTTATTACACTTAATTATGATTGCGGATAATTGTTCACACAGAGCTTACGTTATTAAAAGCTTGTTTAGCATCATTGTTTAATATATAGAGTCCTTGCAAACACGTGACCTAAATCACGTGATACCTACGCCCGCCGCCACAGTGGTGTACATCAGACGTAAACACAATCAGCTGTTCGCCAGCGCTGGACGTGTTCACCGTATGTAAAGAATCGCGCCCGCGGAAAAGGAAAAATATGTTAAAAAACTTGAACTCTTAGGAATTGAAGATCCTTATACAGTTATTGACAGTTTCGTGGATAATATAAATATGTGGCCGAAATTTCTAAATAAAAATACTGTTAGTAATACCGTTTGCGTTTAGAGTTTAAGTAGACGAAGCTGATCAAATGCAGTAATATATTATAGGTTATCTACTGTAGCAAACGTGAGACCACTTAACTCCTACAAAACCCACACTACAACGGCTAATATAATCCATGGGTAATAACTAATCTGGTAGCATGTTATACAATTTAAGACCCTTATAATCCAGCAGGGAAGTAATCAGACATATTAATACTGACATTCAACCCTCATGATGGCTGCCCCCACCTGTATCTAGCCCACAATAAAACCTAAGAGGAGTCTGCCCTGCCCTCCCCTGAAAATGTCTCACCTCCGTGATACCCAGCCCCACAGAGATAGTATTTCTTATATAATTTTGACCCTCAGGGCCCAGCAGGGAGAACAAAGGGGAAAGTCCCACTGCTCTCCCCTCAACACTTCTCACCTCGGTGTCATGTTATGTCATTTATAGCACACATGGCTTATCAGGGGAAAGCATTAAGGCATTAAGAATCTTAACTCTGGACAGCTACACACTAGTATACTAGCTACACACTAGGTGCCTACTGTAAACTACTAGACTGTAGGCCCTATGTAGACCTGCAATTGTATCAATTGTAGACTGGGTCCATTGTTATTATTCTAAACCATCTCACTTATAATGTTTCTAGCTTGATTTGTTTCTTTTATAAACAGTGGATTTAAAAAAAAAAAATTAGCCTAATCATTAACCGAATAATAATAATGTGGTTATTTGTTGTTGGCTGGTATGATCTAGATTGTACTACTAGGCTACAAAAACTTAGTAGACCAATTACTAGATATGAATTTGAATTTAATTAAACTCAGTCCAGTATCAGATACATATTGCTGTAAAAAGACAACAAAGTAGGTAGGCCTTAGTAATTTATTAAAGCCTTCTACTACAATAATATCAACTACATACTTGTATAAAGTTTTTACAATTTAATTTAAGTAGCAGATTCTAGATCTAAGTCTAGTCATACAATCTATTTCAATTTCAGAAAATTTCGTTTGCTAAAAAAATGATTAGATAATAGAGCGAGATTTTAGATCTTAGAGACAATTAAATGCTTTATTAGGCCTATTATGACTACTTTTGATTTATTATGGGTGTATTTTGAATCGAATGTAGATCTAGATCTAAAGTAATTAAATTTAAGTAAAGACGTAGATTCTAGATTCTATGTCTACCCAGCGGAGCCAGGTATTAGGCCTAATATTAGATCTTATTATTCTTATTATTACTTTTGACTTTGTCTTTTACTATTAGTATTTGTGAAGGTCGAGCATATTTGTTTTATTAATAGTTATTTTTTATAATTAAAATGAAGTTTATTATTTTACTGTCCTTACCTGAAACAAAGTATCGAGAACTGCATTTGATCAGATTCGGCTACTTTAACTCTAAACGCAAACAGTATTACTAACAGTATTTTTATTTAGAAATTTTGTCCACATATTTATTTATACGAAACTGTCAATAACAGTATAAGGATCTTCAATTCCTAAGAGTTCAAGTTTTTTTAACGTATTTTTCCTTTTCCGCGGGTGCGGTTCTTTACATACAGTGAACGCGTCCAGCGCTGGTGAACACGTCCAGCGCTGGCGAACAGCTGATTGTGTTTACGTCTGGTGTACACCACTGTGGCGGCGGGCGTAGGTATCACGAACGGACGTGACGTCATATGAAAGGACTCTATCGCATTTACAGATAGAGGCGCTGACTACGAAACAAGCCAGGCACTATTAGGCCTGGTTACCTTGCATAGAAGAAAAACACAGAAATATGTTTACTGGTTATCTTTCTAATGGGTCGTGCATTAATTATTTAACACCGAAGGGGGTGTGGTTTATGGGGTGGGGGTGGCTTATGGCGTATTATAAGGAGTGGGGTGGTGGTAATGAAATGAGTTAGATATCACACGCTTGCTTTTATTATTTCAAATTTTTTTTTTACAATTTCCGCAATTTTTTTTCCTGATTACTTTTTCGTTTCCCGAAAAACTACGGGATCTCGAGGTATAATTATTTGTTTTAAATAAGAAGTCGTTAGTAGTTACACTAGTACATTAATACAAATACCCTAAATTATATTATTGCAGTATATTACGTGGGTGTTGGTGATCAAAATATCATTTGTTTTTGTTTTTTGTTTTAATAAGACCTTTAGGTAAATAATATATATACAAAATACATATGATTGTTTTTTAATCAAATATTTTAAAAGATTTCGAGCAAAAAAAATGTCTAACTACTTAATAGCATTATTAACCAAATAATAAACACATTTCCCCTGGTTAAATTTTTTTTTACATTTAATCAATTTTGGCTACAAAAAGAAACATTTCTCGTGAACACAGGTCACTCACTTAGAATGTTTATTTACCAGCATACAACATCTGTTTTTGTTGGGGTGATTTTGTTGTGAAATCTTGTAACACATGTTAGAGCTACTTAAAATGCAGCGATTTCGCTCACACATTCCAGATAAAGTCATTTCCGATGACAAAGCAAGAATATTAAGTAGATATTAAAGTAATCTTTAAAATTAGTTGTAGTAACAAAACAGGCTCGTTTCGCTACATGTTGAATAGTTAAGTAAAAAGACCTTTAGTTTAAATGTGGCCTCTAGATTTTATATATATATATATATATATATATATATATATATATATATATATATATATATATATATATATATATATATATAGGCATATATATAGGCATATATATATAGGCATATATATATATAGGCATATATATATAAAGGCATATATATAGATATATATATATAGGCATATATATAGGCATGTATATATATATATATATATATATATATATATATATATATATATATATATATATATATATATATATATATATATATATATATATATATATATATATATATATAATAACATTTAATGAACTATATTAAAATTTTACTGAGATAATTTTGAAAATAACGCTTTATCAACAACAAAATTGAAAAAATTTTACGATGACGAAACTATACATTAAAATAGATAGGAACTCATCCAATCACCAGGGGCGCAACTACACAATTCTCTTATGGTGGTCATGGATTGTTCTCTCACACCCTTATGTATAACACACAGTTACAGAGGCCCATCCTGTATGTGAACAGCTTTTTATGGTGCCGCCCAGTGCAGATAGCGCCCTTACTCTCTGTCGGAGCTTCAACACCTTCTAGTTATGGCCAAACGAATTAGAATGTCTAAAACCCTGTTGCGGGACGGCGTGGTCAAATGGTAGAGCATACGACAGCTAACCAGAAAGTCTAGAGTTCGAATCCGGGTTCAAGTCCCCCTGAACGTCCACCAAGCTCTAAATTGTGCCTGACACACTTTAGGGATAGTAAAGACGGCTGGACATAGTGCTGAACACACTATCCCTTCATTTGCCGTGGTCTTTATAACAGATGAACTCGACTTCAGATTCCCAATGTACCGTCAGGTTCGAAAGGGACCTTTGTTTTAAAAATTTTACAAAGCAAGCAACCATTCTATAATTCATATTTGAAAACAATGCCTTTTAAATAAATTATATTTTTTTTCATTAAAAACGTCTCGCGCGATGTGAAGTATTTATACCATTATTTTTATGGAGATGGTGACGTAATCGTATCATGTTAGTTAGTATGTGGACGTGTTCTTGTCGCATAGGGTGAAAAATAACCCATTGCTCATAACTGAGGAAACATGAGATAGTTAATCGACACAGTTATTAAAGAAGTTAGTGGGCCCCTATTGCTATATCGGGTATTCGGTGGGCCCCTCATATTATTATTATACCCGGTATTCAGTGGGCCCCAAGTGCTATTATTAGACCAGGTATTTAGTGGGTCACCTAAGGTACTATTAGACAATATATTCAGTGGGTCACCTAAGGTACTATTAGACAATATATTCAGTGGGTCACCTAAGGTACTATTGGACCAGGTATTTAGTGGGTCACCTAAGGTACTATTAGACAATATATTCAGTGGGTCACCTAAGGTACTATTAGACCAGGTATTCAGTGGGTCACCTAAGTGGGTCACCTAAGGTACTATTAGACCAGGTATTCAGTGGGTCACCTAAGTGGGTCACCTAAGGTACTATTAGACCAGGTATTTAGTGGGTCACCTAAGTGGGTCACCTAAGGTACTATTGGACCATGTACTCAGTGGGTCACCTAAGTGGGTCACCTAACGTACTATTGGACCATGTACTCAGTGGGTCACCTAAGTTACTATTAGACCAGGTATTCAGTGGGTCACCTAAGTGGGTCACCTAAGGTACTATTAGACCAGGTATTCAGTGGGTCATCTAAGTGGGTCACCTAAGGTACTATTAGACCAGGTATTCAGTGGGTCACCTAAGGTACTATTAGACCAGGTA